ATGTAGGCCACGAGGCTGAAGCAAGGCTGATAATTTTATGGGTTACAGTTTCCTATTGGCTGCAAGGAAGGGGCTCTGACACAGAGCGTGACCTATTTCTAAAAAAATGCCTTGGGCTATATGTATAGATAGAATGGACTGTTATCCTTTTTTAATTACATTTTAGGCAGCCTTTATTCACTGGCTGCAAAAATACACATCAGTGATGTGTTTTACACCTCTATCTTCTTTGAAACTTTATAAACACCACAAAGACTGATGTTACATTGACAGTGATGCCATTACATCCAAATTATTACAAGGTTCAAGACTAAATAATTACTTAGTTTGCATTCCCTTACGTAGTTACTTTGTTTCTGTGTTTGTGTGGGTTTTTGTGTAGATGGGTTCTCAGTACACACTTATACATGTGTATATATGTACATGCAGCATACAGTTTAAACAGGGACTCAGGGGTAAGGGGGTAGTGATACTCCATTGCCACTGGTCACCACTAAAGGAAAATGCACTGATAGCGTATAACAGAACGTCCATGAGTTGACAAATTGGATTGGATTAAATAATTAGAGTGTAGGCTATAAAAAGTGGAGTAATATGCATTTAATGTACAAAGGTTTCCCACACAAAAGCACAATTCCCTTTTTATCCACCATGGTCTTGTAGTCATGAATATTCAGCTGTTATGTATTCCATAAGTTAACAAATGTCCTTAAAGTAACCCCTATTCTGAAGAAGAGATGATGAGAGCCTCAGCCAGGTCATACCCCGCATATAAGTAACACATACTTAAATTCAGGGCACTTCCAACACCAAGGAAATGAGCTTGTTTTGAAGCACAAAGATACAAAGATGAGGAATTCCTCCAAGACAGAGAACGCATAAATGAATGAGAAGCACAATTCAAGTGTAGGATGAAAATGAATGCATGCTATTCCTGTGTCTGAGGTCAAGATTCTACAAACATCCCCCTCCCAAGAGCTATGGGGAATGATGCTGAGTTCAAAGCTCCGTACCAGCTTCTTGTATAAATCCCGGTCTCCTTGATGTTGGTTTTATTTGAGAGTTGATTACCCTCTGACAGGCTAGAATCTCTATGGAAGGGCACAAGGTCTTCTGGTTTTGATGGTCAGCCAAGGCATTTGTTTACAGACATGGTGATTCTTTTTAGGGGTTGGCTGCATGCACCCTTGTGTGGCAAAAGAAAAATAACACTTTGGTGATGTGCGCTCATCTGGAGGTATGAATCAATATGCCTTCTGCTGCGCCAAACGTTTTCTTGTGACTCAGGCCGGTCTCTCCAGACACATCTGCAACCAGCACGTCCGCTGCATCTGCCATCTTTGAAGCTCAGCATTAACACTGAAGAATATCCCAGGATCTGACTCCCACACATTAACAGATGTACAACCACGCAGACACACAGCCAAACACAGACATCGCTACAGTCAGCTTGTGTTAACAAAGTGCTTCCCACTCACAGGCCAATTTGTTTGATTCCGTTTGCTCTTTCATTGTGTATGAATTGATGTATTGTACTTTTATAGAGCATTACACTGCAAACATACTTTGTGTGATCAATAGAAGATTCATGTGTACTTCCAGCAAGTTGGGATCATTGTGATCTGACCTGTTCCATAAAAGCCAACCAATATGACAGTAAAAAAAGTGGACATGATGCTGTTTGACATAGAAACAAATGCTTTTCCTAGCTTTGACATATGCCCCCATGTGACCTTTACAGGGCAAAGACAGTGAATCAGTATGGCGTCGTCCCTTCTTTACCTGTCCTCACTTCCTCTCTCACACCATACCATTCAGATTCCACAACGACGGCCGCATGCTGGATGTCTATCAGCGGCTCACAGCCACGGAGGGGAAGTACTTCCTGCCTCAAGACCTAGAGCTGTCCAATCAGGAACTGAGCTATATTGTCAAGAAGGCAGAGCAGTGGAGAGGCTTCAATGGGGAGAGGCGTAAGGTAAGCATCTCACCACACTGCAAACACTCCTGTCTCTCTGGACAATGCCGTTCTCCTCAAACCCGTGGAGATTAATTGAGCTAATGGATGTTTTCTTAACGAGAGAACGAGCTAAAAGGTCACTGATACTAATCTGTTAGATTGGCTTGTGTATAGGGGGGAATTACAGTTGGTTGTTTGTAATCCCGGGAGGTTTCTGCCATGTTGCAGCACAGAAGGAAAGACTGGCTGGAAAAGGATGATTGTGATACTGATAGGAACACTTACTGGCAGCCATGATGGTATCCCACTGTTCATTAGTACCACATTGAATTTGGTCACTTTAACGAAGACATTACGTCCGAAAGGATGTATAGAATAGGCTCAATTTATGTCATTACATTTTCTTTAGTTACATTTCAGAAAGCTGAGAATTCATCTCAGAGGTCTTCAGCTTCATTCTAATTAGTACAAGATAATTACCAAAACAGAAACTCGGCGAGCGGGCTGCATGATTAGTCTGTGGAAACCAATTTCCGAAGATATTTCATTAAAGAAAGACTGCTCAATCCACACACATACTGAGATGCATATGCTACAATGGACATTCTCTTAATGTGAACAACTTGGTGTCATGGGAAATGCAAGATTCTAGTTCGCATAAATGGCATGTCCCCATGAAATTACTATTCCTTGGGAGAAGCTGTCGCATGTTTGACAGCCCAGCGTAGGTCGATGGTGATGACACAGGGAAGGGCAGGGTATTAGCACTGAGCCTACACCCGATGTAAAATCTTTGCATAGTGATTGAAAATGTGACTTGTTGAGATAAGGGAAATGGAACATAGCGATCAAACTGCAGCCCCCTTTAATTTATTCTGTAGAATTTGTTAGTGGCACACATCACTCGGTGTTCTCTGTGTTCATTAACTTCCTTGCTCTTTCCTTGCACAAGTTCGTATAGCTGTAAAGGGGTGAAATGGAATCAGAAACTACAGTAGATTAGTGGCTTCTGGTAGAAGATTGACTGGCTGTTAAGAAAACATTTTGTCTTACAGGGGAGTAAAAACAGGCTTGACTAATCCAAAATATTTCATGAGGGTCACAAGGTTTATATTCAATCACAGGAAATATAACCACCAAAATCAACTTCCTCTGTGAAACTTGTGTTGAAAAATTAGTCTACACTTTAAAAGGGTAGCGGCAGACATTTCACAGAAAATTCTGATTGACAGTGCTTCAACAAATAAATATGCATGATTAATAAATACAGGATTGTATCTCTTGGAATTTGTCTCACTTGTCATAGGAAGAATGCTTGCAGTTCATCTGTTGGTGTCTATACAAGTTGAGCCACAAACTTTATTGAGCTCTGTCTTCCATACATACATACATAGAAATCATGATGATACTGGAACAGCAACCATTATTTTGATTGGATATAGTACATGACCTTACTTCCTGTTTGAAAACTGAGCTTATGAAAAAGACAGGAGATGATGAATATTGTTGACATTGTTTGTACTTACATGTTACTTGAAACTTTCTTACAATTTAATATTAAACTCACAAGACACTGTTTGTGTCATGCAGAACTTACTGCTTTTTTTTTGCTATTTTTGTACACCTGTCTTGTAAACCTTAATGAACTGCATCCGTAGCTCCGAGAGGTGACTGCACTATTGCTAATGGGATGGTGATAGACCTGTTTATTGGGAGAAAATTGAACTTTCCAATGTTTGTAGACTTTGAAAGAAATTACACCCCCAAAGTTTGTGATTAAGAAAATGCTTCATTTAGCTGCTGATGGTCTCTTGCTGTGGTGGCACTGCTAAATCATCCTTGCATTACTGCATATCTCCCTCCACAGCAACAATTATAGCATACTTCATATTGTCCCTAATTTGGCGTTATTAAACTGATAAAATGCCAACACGTTAACACATTCTCCGGCATGATGAAAATTTAGGGTTATTGCATTTTATGATTTTTACATTATTCAAGCTGGCCATTTTTCATCAAAATAAGATGGGCCTTGCCATTATTTCATAATTATTGTAACAATTTCTCCTGTGAAAAGGGTCACTTTCCTAACTCAGCAAAGACATATCCCTATTAGACTAATTTGCCTACATGCAAATTTTTGTCATTTTTCCCTCATTAACTATTTATCATGGACAGGAAAAAAATATATTCATGAAGGCAAGCGAAGGAGCAGCCCGACAGAGCTGAAACTAATATTTTGCAACTCTAATGATTTTTTGCATCCTTAATTAGATAGAATAAGGTTGATATGATTAGGTCAGGATGTAGTGTTTTTCATTAAAAATACATTTCAGAAACTGTATTCCAAATGTGCCCTTGCAATTAAATAATGAATCCGACGCATTCCTTATTACGGACCCAATTAATATCAGAGGCAAGGGCGTAATTTTAATAACAGTGGGCCACAAGGCCTTCATTAGCTAAGTCAGAGAAAGGAGGGATGAGGAGAAGGAAAACAAGGCACTCACAGGAACAGCAGCAGTCTGATATTGAGCCAATTTTAGAAAGTTATTGAACAGTACACTCTTGAAAGGATAAAGTATGACATTTTCAACAAATAAGATCTGGGGGTAAACAGGAACTGCAAGTACCTCTTGTTTGTTTTAGCCTAATTTGATACCAGTTGTATGTCAGGTGCCAAACAGGGCAACTGAAAATGAAAAATCATTTAGAGAATCACAAGTGAAAGTCTTTTAAGGTTAATCTAGTACTTATAGTAGGTTATAATATGCAGCTGTAATATTAGAACCTATTCTGTAGCACCCTGGATCACAAGTAGCAATTTGTTGCTTGACTCTGCATCAGTCAGGAAACCTTTAATAGCAACAAGTTAGAATTCTGTCAGCCAGTTGCACTGTGCTGATCAGGCAGCCCACTTTCTGCATGACATTTCAGGGTGTCTTGTACCTTAACTGTCCCATTACCTGCAATATCAACTGTAATGGGACAACACGCTAGTGGGACAAGCAGACTATTCATTCATTTTACACAAAACATTGAACGGACTTTTTTATGTAAGACATACAGGGGCGGAGTGGGACAAAAATTCAGCATTGGCACTGTAGCCACGCCAGCCCACCTTACCACATATCCCCACAAACACACATTCACTACTTAGGCTACATTTGTTTACAGATGGTGAAATAATATAAGCAGTAGGCCTACCGTACGGAACAGCAAGTGCATCACTTTGTGTTGAAAAGAGTTGGTGACATAAGGTTTGAAAATAGGAGTGTAAAAGAACAGGCCACAACATTTGGCATTACTGGAGGAAATGTTTGCAGTGTACAGAACATCAGAGGTTGACTACTATTTATAGACAAAAAGGGTAAAGTTAGAGCAAATAAAACACAACAGTATGGTATGTCACATATTTTGCAGTTACAAAAATGAAAGATTATTATAATCAATTAGGTTCAAAATAGTTTTCTGGATGTGCTGTGCTGTAACTCAGCAAAATCTCTCTGATGCTGTATCTCCCTCCAGCACTGAAACAATAAAAAAAGAATCCACATTCAATAACCAACCTGCAAATGGCCTATTATTACCAAACTTGTAATTTTCACAAGGCAGTCATAAAACATAATCTAATTTTAACTTTCTCACCAATTAACTTTATATTATAGATTCCTCCATGCCATATGATCATTTCAGCTTCAAGGTTTAAATATTACTCACAGGTTAAGATGTCAGCAGTAGAGCTTACTGGCTAAGCAAAGAGGGTGAATGAGTCAAGGACCTATCTACCTGTGTGCTCTTTAATTTGATCCCAGGAAGGAAGGAAAAAGAATGCGTTTCAGTCAAAGATCATTAGCCTGAAGTGTTGTGGATAACAGCTCAGAGAGGGGGCATTAGCTCACCCACCAATCATGGCATTTTTCATAATTGAAATTTAAGACTTACCTCACAATTTTTGTTCCCCACTTCTATTTACATATGTAGCATAAATCACACCTTTTACTCAGTTAGTGTACTGTTGTTCCATTCTTGCTTCAACCACATCACAAATTATTTGGAGATTATTTGTGTGCTATTTCTTTTTGATTCATTTTTATGTTCTTAAGTCCCTCTGGTGAAGTTTGTTTGATTGGATTGTCACTTGGACTTGTCCTAGACTACAATCAAAGTAAAGTATACGTCTTTGCAATCACATCACCTTGTGTGTTGGTGTAATTTGTTTCTACTAAAACCTGGACGTAGTAATGAGCATAACAGATCATTGCCGTAGCTCAAAGTGAGAAAACATGTAGAAAGACAGAGATTGCAGCCAAAGTTATCTCTCAAGAACAAACTACTAGTGACACTTAGTTTAAGGGCATTGTGAGTGTGTGTCACTTTTTAAAATGGTTTAGCATGAAGGCTTTGCCAAACATGCGGATTAAGCCAATCAAAAGTTGACAGATTTTCATAGGAAACTGCAGCAGACACTGCAGGTTAGTCAGTTAGAGGCAAATGATGAAACAAACAAACAAAACATTTTTCTTTCCTAGTGCTAGTACTATTATACCATCATGCTCTGAGCTAGAGAGAGTGCTAGCATCCTCTACATCATCCTAGTGGTTCAGTAATGAGCCCCATTAATTATGTAAAGGCAGTGATGCAGATGGACCTAATTAATTGTCTCTTGTCACCCCCTTGATTACTGTACCTGGAAGGGAGGTGTTGATTTCTGTAATACTTAAGCAGGTACGCAAACTGTTTTGTCAGAGCCACCACTACGACAATGACAGAGTAGAGCTTACCCGCTACAAAGCGCTTTTCCTCTTAATTCTCCAAAAGGAAACTTTCCCAGTGGTGGTGGTGGTGACATTGTGATAATTGAAGGAGAGAGGGAGAGATTAAAAGAAGCAGGGAAGGAGGGGGGAGGAGAAAGAGGGCTTGTGTGGTGGCCCTGGAGATGTTTTCGCAACCTGATTGCATCAACATTTGCGTACCTTCGTGCCGTTTGTCTCCGTATGTCTAGGTAATGGGTTACCAGCGGGCAAGTTTGGGAACACCCAAGGTGCTTTGCAACAGCAGTGTGGTTGGTGGGGAGTAAACCTGTTGAGAGTAGAACAGCACAGATTGGAGTGGTAATGATAACCTGAGTCTGGGAGGCGGGCTGTTAATCATATAAGACGTGTTCTCCATCTCAACTTACAGCAGCGACATGATGGTGGGACCTGACCAGAGAGATACCGGGGTCATCCTTTTTCCTTGTGACAAAAAAGACAATTTGTAGCATTAATCTCAAGTCATTTCATAAATATTCTATATTACCTTGCCTTTCATACAAAACAATATAACGTAGCTGCAGTTTGTTATACAACATGAACTTCCAACACACTGAACAGCCTTTGGAAGACACACCTCTTCCACCTAACTTATTATAATTTAATATGTATCACTGTAAATGACTTTTCTGAATGAGTTTTGACATCATAAAATATGCATAGCCTGTTAACTCTCTAATAAAGCACTTTAAATGAAACTATTTACAAGACAACAATGCACACAGTACTCATAATGCAGCACTTCATCTGGTTTATTCATCAGTCCTGCTGTGCAAATAGTACAGTTAAGTGAGTATGAGGCCACCTGGGCTGAAAATATAAACTAAAGTAAAGGAAGAAGAAGCTTTTTAAGAGGAAGGCGGACAGAGGGAGCAGCAGGCCGTGACAGCATACACAGGAACCCCTGTCACACAACAATAGAACCCTCAGCTCCTGAACAGGAACCCATAACAGCAACACAGGAACACCAGGAGAGGAGAGGAGCTGAGTGCTTCAGTAGCACAGGAGGGGTCATCCAGAGTCAGAGGGCAACGACTGGTCTATGGTGTGTGTGTGTGTGTCCTCCCAATAATGTCTACCAAAAAGCAATGTGGTCAGTGTGTGTGCATTTATGTGCTTAGCTGCAATTGTATGAGTTCATGCCTGTGTGCATTTATACAGTATGTCTGTGCATGTGTGTCTACCCTTATGCACATTTGTAAGTATGAGTACATGCATGCAAACCTTTCTGCATGCTTGCATGTCACATTAGAGTGGCTTCTTCAATTACAGCGGATGGTTTTTATTTTGTTTTTTTTAGTGGGCAGCGCTGAGGGCCCCAATGGCCCTAGGCAATAGCAAGTAGGCAGACAAGGACAGTGGCGACGTAGAAGCAAGCACAGCTTTCACAGTCAGAGAATGAGGGAGCTCAATATGAGACAAGACTGCAAAGGCTACATGCTTGTGTTGCTGAAAAGGTCATGGACTTTGCTGGGCAGTAATGTGTGAAAGCGGTACACAGTGGTTAAAAAAGAAGAGAAGAAAATAACAGATAAAGATCAAACACATGTACACTTTCAACTCCTTCCCAGTTTGCACATATAACATTTTATTTAAACAAATACAAAACACATTCATACAAACTGACCCATTCAAAGTAATTTAAAAAGAAATAAATGTTATCACTGAGGATACACAAGTGATTTTTGTTCATAATACCTTCTTAGAGTCATGATTCCAAAATAACAGAGAGACGTTCTGTTCATTAGTTTTTCACATAGGATCCACACACTGCAAGTGCATAAAATGCATGCTCAGCCACTTATAGCTCAGCCAGATATACTCAAGTATATTAGCATCAACTTTCATTCACCCACATTGTGTCCTAGGAACAATATCTGCATTTCTGCTGTTCCGTTTCTGGCGTTCAACAATCCTGAACTCTTTAAGGTCTCCAACACAAAAGTTGTATAAGCCACAGACCAGTTTTGTTTTGCTACCACCATGTTTCTTTCCCTCCCGTCACCTTACCCCCAATTGGAGCAAACATGCGCAGAAAGACTATATTTATTCCAACCGGAGAGAAACGGTCAGATTAAGCATTTATATGGTTATTAGGCGCTAATATTGTCCTGTTGAAGGTATTTGCAAAGGTATACTCCATCCCTCTCAACTCGATTCCTTCTGATCAGGCCAGATCGGGCCAGTCTCTTCTGATTCAGGTGGTTACATGAGGCATTTTTATTCTGAAATTTTATTCTGGCTATTATTCCAATTATTAGTGGGATATTAGGGTCCATGTAAATGCAGCGAGTGATACACGTGCCTCTTCTTTGACCTCTGTTTACACAATGGCCATTACCAGGTCTATACATAGCTTCCTCAAGAGATCCGAGCATGTGAGGGCATGGACACAAGAAATGTCTCTCAGTGCTAACACTGTATTCTATGGTTCACTCTGGGTAGTATATGACTCATAGGCTCTGTGATGTGTGTACAGTGTCAGCGTCACAGCAGGGGGTTGCAGCCATCAGGGTTCACCCCCTATGCCCACAGAGCCCTGTGAGAAAGCGAAGCTTCTCTTAAAAAAAACAGGTTATGTATTCAGCAGTTTCCAACCGCTGTTATATGTTTTGCAGAAGACAAAATGTCATGTCATTTTGTTGATTTTATTGATTTATTTTTGGTATATACAATAAATTTAAACAATGTTGAATACTTTATATCATCCTCCCCTGTTAGATGCACAAAACAGGTGCTGTAAAAGGTTATATCAGGTTATATCATTATAATCAGAGTTTCATTTTGTATTGATAAATATCAAGGCCAGTAAATCATTCGAGTTCTATGAACAGAGATCTTAGGCTTCCTATTTTTGTATAAATTTCACAATGTGACGCACTCACTTACCTCACAAACGCACCACTATAAAATCATCCCATTTCTAAACAGGCACAATTCCAGCAGTGGATAAAGAGAGAAAGGAGAAAGTGTTCCAGTATGAACTCGTTGGTGTGAACAGTTTAATTACAGGGAGTGTCAGCCCTATTGCTTAATGTGTCCCTCACAATTAATCCAGGGAGAGGATGTCATTATCTACCAAAGCCTGGGCCGGGGCAGGCTTTTCTGTCAGAGTCAAAAGAGGGAGGGAATGAGAGTGTGAAAAAGAGAAAAACAGTCAAAAGACGGAAGTGCCTTTAGCTTGCAGCCGACAATATGGTTGACCTCTGTGACACCAAAAAGGATCAGGCCAGGATTCTTGGAGATCATTTGTTCTTCAAATGTTTCGGAAACTTGCATCTTGTGACTCCATAAATGAGGAAGAGATTCTTCCTTTAATTTCTTCATAATATGAAGCTTTGCCCATCAGTTGTCAAAACATGTCCAGCTGGAAGATGTTAGATTGATGCCAGGTTTTCACCACTTTGAGACACTTTTCTGTCCTTCCTTCTCCTTATCCCTTACCTCCCCTCCTTCCTCCTTGATCAGGCCGAGACTTAAGGAGTCCTAGCATTTTCCCTTGCAATCCCATAATGTGAGACAGAAGGCAACTAATTGGACTGTTGAAGAGTGAGCAAAGATTTATGCAGGAACTTGGAATTTAAGAAATAATATTAAGCGTCTCATCATGCAAAAACCACGTGCCTGACATCTGTCGTATGGGTATAGAATGTAGTGTAACCATGTTAACAAACATTTAATTGATTAATGCTACATGTGGAGCTGGTAGGATGTAATCATTGTGGAAACATAAGCTAATTATGTCAGCTGAAGAAATGTGACAAGGGCAATGCTGTATGTAATGCTCACTCAAACACACATACAAAGATGCATATACAGCCTCTGACTGCACCGAGGTTTTACAGCTTGAACTTGACAGATCTGATTCTTTGTGACTGTCCGTCGTTAGTCACTTCTTTTCCCCTTTCTCCCTCCCTTTCCTTTAAAGAGTTTGACCTTGGCCGCTTCCTGTGGGCCGGAGGGGATGAGGAAGGTCTGGTGATTGTGACAGGTGTCGCGTCTTAACAGCCCCACATGACATCCCGAGGAGAGATAGACATTTGGAAGGGTTTTTTTTCCATAAGGGTTTCACTCATAACCTTAAAGAGACAGTACGTGTGTGTGTGTGTGTGTGCGTGTGTGTGTGTGTGTGTGTGTGTGTGTGCATGCACACTGACAGTATCGATGTGAGAGAGGATGTGTGTATGCGTCTCACCACTGATTCCCAGCTCTCATTTTGGTTATTGGCTTGGATACTTATCACCTCCAGCCTCCGAGGCCTGATTAGGTTGAAGCTACTCCAAAGTCAAATTTTGGATATCAAAGGCAATACTCAACTTTGACATCTGTCTGCAGCATCCTAATACGAAGATATTTTGAGAATTGAGCATATCATATAATATGTGGTCCATACACTTATAGCAAGAAAATGCGTTTTTAAGGATTACTAGAAGGATACAAGTCTGCAAACACTCAATTAGTTTGGTGTAAGTTATCATGGTATTACTGGTGTAGCCTTTAAAAATACAAAATAAGTTGTATTTGACTTGTATTGTTTGTGTGATTGCTCTTTGGTTGCAGGGAAATATTATTAAATTAACATACATTTCAATAGAGCATGCACATGCTTTATATATTCTATATATGAATCCTTGATTTGGTCTCTTTGCGAATATTTTAACTTACACAAATACATTGCCACTTTGCAATACTTGCATCTGGCTTACGTGTTGCAGCACATCTGTGGTTACATATTTAGAGGTGAAGTAATTCCTTTAATGTGTTCAATGTTTCAGTCAGACTTTGAATATGATCCCTGACTTGAAGAAAGGTGTGAATAATGAAACTCTCAGTAATTTGTGAGCAGACATTAACATTAAAACGTGGAGTACACATATATTCCTTTGTTCAATAAAGTTGCAGGTAAACTTCAGTGTGCTCCAGAACAAACCTGGAAAAGTCATCTCCTTAGGGCCTAGGGTGAGTCAGACATGGTGTGGAAGTAAAAGATGGGCTACTATCTGAGTTGTTTACTGTAGGCTGGGAGTAGGCTTTATTTTCTGCTAAGGAGATTAGTAACAGTGAATTATGCATATCTTATTTTCTGGATTATCTCAGGCACTCAGTGATAGTATCTCACTGGATAATCTCTTTTAAAGTTGTTCAGTTTATTCTGACTGTAAATATAGTCATAGTTGCTTGTTTATCTTTTCTCGAAGTCCAATTTGGTCTGTGCTACTTTTGGATGGACTGTGTTATTAGTACTATGATTACTCAAGTTGA